TCAGAGTAATTAACAGTTGGGTAGTAAAAAGAGGAGCAATGGATTAAATGACTAGAAAGTTAGTGACATCATTACTAGCAGCAGCAAACTTGAAAGGCAGGCTATTTTTGGAATGGGGTCACTTCAGAACTCGTCTGTGCTTGCCAATGACACAGATAAATGAAAATATGTTGCATAAGTCACTGGCATAGAGGTGACAAGAATAAATTAAGGACAAGAATGAATGAGCTGAATGAGAGAAAACAGGAAGCCAAATCTGAGAAGTGAAGTATGCCCATGGTTAGGAGACAGGAGGAAAACATCATAGGAAAACAAAGTAAAACAAGAAAAGCAAACACAGAATAAATGGCAATTTAGGAAAGATAAAATCCCCTCAACCCCAGCAAAAATAAGTATTCCCACAGAACCACAGTTTCCATCCCCATAAAAGCTTGTAAAGAAGCTAAAAAGATGTAGGAAGAGTCAGATCATAATTTGCCCTACTGAACGTTTGTTCTGTTTTTCTCACTCAGAACTAACCATATTAACATAAACTTGCTATCTGCTTGTACCATTGTTTATATGTAGCTAACAGTTAAAAACCAGTAAGGTCCAACTGCTCCCTGAAAGGTAAAATTAGAAATTCAAAGGGCATCGATAATGTATAAACACATAGGACTGTTTATGTTCCTAAGAATACCTAAAACCATGGCAGCCACACTGCAACAGTTTCTTTTGAGATATACAAGGGAAAATGTACCACATTATCATCAATTTTAAAAGATCAATAAACCCAACACAAAAAAACCTGATCAAACAATATTCTATTATTTCTCTAAATCTACAGAACATCAAGGAAAACAGGTGGCATCTCTTTTCTGTACAGTATTACTCTAAACTTTCATGTCTGTCCCAAGAGTGGCACTGTTAAGTATTTATAATAATGTTCCCTAAAATTCAGAGCTGCTCTTATTAAACAGCACCTGCCTGATATATTGAAAGATTAAGAAGTGTTATGGCTTCTACAATTGCTTTCATTTCCCCTCAAAGTGAAGAAATGAGGGGCACTGAAAGTGAGAATTGGGATAAAAGTAACAATTTTATAACTGGAAAAGCCCTTAAGATCACCATCTACTGTCCTCTTTGCCTTTAGTGGAGCACTTGCTCAAAGCACCCCAAAATGGTCATTAAGAAAGCAGAGAGTCACAAGCTGAGGAAAAAAAAATGAGAAATTCAAGATTTAGTATTATACCTCTGAGTTTACTATACAAATGTGAAAAGACTGAAATGTATCAAGTTCCTACCTTTAATGCATCATGAAAGACTGGAACGCCTGGGTGGTATGTGCAAGCGTCTGGTCAAAAACAAAAGAAAAAAAAAACACTTTATAATGAAGAAAAATCATCATTTCCTTCAGTGTTAACATATAATCCTTTTTCCATATGCAGGTAATACTTTTCTTTTCCTTAAAAATTCAGTAATGCTCGAATTTGATGCATGACACACAGTGCTTAATATAACATTGTATTAAAATAGTAAAGGTTAAAATTCTAATTTGCGTAAGAAAGCTATAAATAAAAACACAAATAGTTCAAGTATAACAAATTATATTTTGTATTCCTCTAATCTTCGTTGTAAAATTTTTTAGTACCCGAACTTCAAGCTCTAAATTTTGACCATCATATTCGGTTTTTACAAAAATACTATCAAATTTAAATGTTCTTATGTGCATCGATCCATAAAGGTTGCCCAAGGGATTACCTAAAAAGATATTTTGGAAGAAAAGGTTCCAATTTTAAAAAACTGATACAATATCTAATTGTTAATTTAATTTTCCTACACAGGTGTCAATTCCTAGATATAAACCTCATTAAAAAGAAGTTTAAATTCTACAATCTATTTTCAGGCTTGTCAATGATTGTTAGTCTATTATTTCCCTACCCCTTCCCCATTATACCACCAAGTTTTATTTAACTCTTATGAAAATGGACTTATTATAGTCTGCAATATATAGAATTACATTTTAAAAAACAAAACAACAGATAATAGACACACTTATTCCCTAGCTAGATAGCACCATGAGCTCAGAAAAAGCAGGTCAGCTCCACACCTGTGCAATTTTCTTATAAGGCTACTTTGCTCAAACTTTCACGTCTGTTTAGCTCTCAATTGTCTACAACCTCTGACTCCTGGTGTCGCAAAATGATTAATTTCTGGTACTTTTCTCCCTATCGCTGTATTAAGTCAGTATGTTTTCCTTCGTTACTACCTAGAGACCATTCTAGCTAATGAAGCAAGAAAAGTGTCAGGTATTTTCATGGTACAGTAAGTAAGCCCAGTTTAGGAAGATGCTATTAATTAAGGGTAGTAGTGGGGCTGAGGGCTGAAAAAGGAGATTCAAAGTAAAAATGAATATGCAGAGGAATATGAAGTTGAGAGGGGAATCAAAGTAGAGAACAGGTAGAATATTTTCAAATATCAAATTTACATACAGTCAGAGGCATAAAACACATGTCTGACACAGTAAGAGGCATGATCATAATAATGGACAGTTCTGGCAGAATGGCAGCAGGAGTGAGTCAGGTCTTAACCATACAACTAGTATAAACAAAATTTGAAAATCACTGCTAAATAACAAGCAGATGGACATTTTCATCTTTAGTGTTTCTTTTCTTTTTAAATCAGGTTTGCCAGTTTTGCCCAAAGTAATATTATGGGCAAGAAGCTACAACACAGTAGCGATTAAGAGCCAAGGGCTTTTAACACTGAGTCCCACACTGGCTCAAATTCTGCCTCTGCCTCTTGCAACTGTTTCAGTTTCCTCACACGTGTGGATTGAATAAAATATTGTTTGTGAAGAGGTGTTTCTTCCAGAATAGCTGTTTTTAACATACGCAAATTACCATGTCTCTTTAAAACACTCATTTAACTTTTGTTTCAAATGAAAATGTCGTATCATCTTAGAAAGGAGTCTTCTTATTTTAGTCAATACACAAGGTCAAACCTCTCCCATCCTATAAAACTTTCTCCTAATCAAGTCCACAGTTTTCTATTAGCTCTTGTCCTTACTCCCTAGCCCCATTTTCCATCAACCAATTCACTTGGAGTATTTATTCTAAGTCTCTAATATAACCCCAATTTTGCTAAAGCGGATAAACTTTAAGCAACCTTAATGGAACTCTGCTGAATTTAATACGGTTGACGCTCAATGCTTGAGACTGTCTACTCCTCTGATTTTTCTGGCTTCCCCCATCTCTTTCCTGGGCACTGTACCATTTCACACACACAAAGCTGACTTCCAAAAAATTGGCTGTACCTCCCCTTAAAATTAGGTTGGTACATAACACCCTATAAATAAACATATTGTCCCATTCAACAAAGCATCAGTCTTCCCTTCAACATTAAAGTAAAATGTGTACAGACACTAAAGCGATTTACTTTTTACACAAGCTACCAACAGTAAAGGGCTTTGAAATCCCTCATTCCTCGATGTTTTCATCCACTTAAGTCTCACAATTTTCTACCTGAACTTCATATTAATATCATAAAAACGATTAAACTTATCTTTTTCCTCAGAATCCTACCAAAGATCTTATCATTTTAAATTATGTCCCCAATTCACCTGTGCACCAAGATAAACATTGAGACATCTCAAGAGGTGAAAAAGATTTTTTAAGTATCAATTTTAATCTTGTACACAATGAAGAACCATGTTGCTACCATGCTGAACTGGGCTTCTCTATTAAATGCGTAAAACACTACACACTTCACAGAGTTGCTGTGAAGGTTAAATGAAATAACATAATAAAGTGATAGACCAATGTCTGGCATATAGAAAACATACAATAAATGCTAGTCGAATTGAGAAAGTGTTACAATGCTTACAATTTTCAAGGATTCAACTCACTTCTTTATTCCATTCACCTTTCAAAATTCAAATCCACTGGTCAGGTTCTATTCTTCACCTAGTCTAATCACTAACTTTCACCTTACATCCTTAACTCTACACCTGGGTGCTGTAGAGGACATTCAATCACTGTATCCTATAGACCGCATGGTACTAAATGGAAAGGCCACTGCAAAAATACCCAACAAACAGGGCTACAAAGTAAAGGATGAGGAATGTATCTCCCATTTGGGCGGATGTATCAAAACTTAACAGCGTAAAAATACAAAATAATTTTCTTAACCAAGAACGTTTTAAAGAGTAAGGTTAAAACAAGTGAGTAGGTCGAATGAATAAATCGACAGCAGGCTTACAGACAAATAAACTTCTATACTAATAGAAAGAGGCCGAACTTAAACGCTAGGATAACCCGCCCGGGTTAACGCTAGGGTAAGACCTTCCAGGCAACGTCGGTCTGTCTCTGACACACGGACCCAGCAAATCAACCGCAAAGCGAGCCCAGAGCACCTGGTTAACTTCTGATTCCTTTAAAAGACGCTGTTGGGGGGGGGGGGGGGGGGAAAAACATGCTCTAAATTCCAGGCCAATTACAGAGTGAGCGGACGACTTAGGCAAACACGTGCGCCCGAGGGGCAGTGGGTCCGGAAGCTGCAGCGGGAGGGGTTCAGACGTCGCTGCCTGAGCGCCCCCAGAGCGGTCCCGCGCCCTTGGGCGGTCAGGCGGGAGGGGAGGCCCGGGGGGGGGGTGGCGCAGCGCGGTGCCGGCTTGCGCGGAGACCCGGGATGCCCTCCGGCCCAAGGGCGTCCACGGGAAGAGGTAGAAGGGTGGGAGGGCCGGCGGCGCGCTTTTCTTACCATCGGAATTGGTCTCGGGATCGAAGCGCTGGCCGCAGCCTCGGTTGTAGCACAGCAGGGCCATTTTCTCTTCCCACCGCTCCGGGTCAGGGCCAAACGCCCAGAACCGCCAGACACTGCCTTTACAACTCCCCTGTCGCAACCACCCGTCTGCAGACTGGGGCGGCTGCCGGCTTCCGGAAACGGCCAGTTCCGCTTCACGAACCTTCGCGAATTTTCCGGTCGCGCAGGCGCACAGGCGATGGGAAGAGGCGGAGGAAGCGCGGCGGCCGGCCGCAGGCGGGGGCGCATCTAGGTGGGAGTACGATGGGTAGGGGGCCGGGGTCGGAGATGCAGCCAAGATATTTGCCGGAGAGAAACCTTAAAGGCTGGAAATGTAAGCATCCGGGGCACTGATGCGCTCTCTCCGGATCTCCTCACTCATTGGCTGCGGGTATCTCGCACAGCGAACGGACCGCCCCGCCCTCTCGGCCCCGTAGCCAGTCATCCTGCTTCCTTTCGAGACTGAAATTACCCCTAAAAGACTGGTCGATATGTTTGCTCCTTAGCTGCCTGAGAGTGATTGTAGAGTCGTTCAGTATTTCCGAATCCTCTTCCTGGAACGTGGTTGCTTAATAAATGATGAGGCGGATGGTGGACGAATCTCCCTCTGTGCCTCCACTGGCCTGATCTCAGAAGCATTGAAGAAGTGTAGGCATCGGGAGCAGTTTCGGTAACGAATTGTGGTCATATCACATTGAAAATACAAAGCACTTGAAAATTAGAATATCAAGGAGAAATGTTGCACAATTACAGCGCTAAAGTGGTCACTATTGCTCTAAGACTCTGGGGTAATTGTTATTGTTTCGTGTTAGCTTCCATTTAATCATTTTGTGATGCTGAATTCTCCAATCCTGGATCATCTGGTAAGATTCTATCAAGAGCATCTTAAAAAGTGTAGTGATACATTAATGGGCACACGCAAACAACCCTAGTTCCAACTTGTATGTTTACCAGACTTGGTGTATTTGAAATAAAAGCAAATGCTTCTTGATAACAGGTATACTGAACAAAATGGGAATATCAGTATTTGTCAAGTAGAAGTAAAAAGCTATACAATATTTCTAACGATCCCAAGTCTGTTCATGAGAAATGAGTTCAGTCCTCCCACCCCAATGAAGAAGACTTTTCATTTTCCATATTCCGTTCCTCCATACCTAGAAGTATTAAATTTCTATGTAGTCATTCTAACATAGATATATACAATGTTGTATTCTCCTTTATTTTACCTAAGGAGTATTTTTCTGTTTTGTTTCATAATCACATTATGAATGATGAGGTAGATTTCTGATGAATAAATTCACTATAACCATTCTTCATTTAATCTCACCAACTTTATTATACAATAAGCTTCAGTGATAAACTTATTGTATGCTGTTTTTCTTATTTTAGATTTTTGAGAAGTAGCAGTAAGGTGTATGAACTGAAAAAACAAAACAAAACACAACCCCACAACATAAGAGCTGTGAGTTGAGTTTTATTCTGAGTATTATAGAGGACTTACGCCCAGAGCAGCTCTGAGGAACTGCTCTGAATAAGTAGGGGGAGGAGCCAGTGTGTGTGTGTGTGTGTGTGTGTGTGTGTGTGTGTGTATGTGTGTGTATGTCTGTGTGTGTGTGTATGATTTTGGATAGGGAATACATGCAGTCAAGCACACATCTCAATAAAAGGTTATTGCTAGCCAGGAGGAACAAGTATCTCAGTTAATGATCTCAGTGCCTTTTTTTTTTTTTTTCATGTAAGGGAAGATGCAAGATTTTGGTTTCATTAAAATTCTTCCTGAGATATCTAACTATCTAGAGGACCTATTTTGCCAAAGCACAGAGTGCCTCATCCTGTTCTTCCTCTTTAATTCCTTTCAGGGTGTACTGCTGGTCAGTGACTACAGTTGCTAATGACTTGATCCTTGTAGAAGTGAATGGTGTGTGACATTCTTTGTTTTGCAAGGACTTAAGCCTTTTAAAATAATTTTGGGACTTTAAAGGTATATACTGTCAATTGTATCCAAAAAGGTGGTATTAATTTGCTTTTTCACCAGCCATGGATGTGAGGAGGAGCGATGAAGAGGTTTAAAAAGTTGGTTGTGGCCAAATCCACTTTCTGAGTAGCCTAGCATTATCATAACATTGCACTGTTTATCAGTAAGCTAACTCATTTAAATGGCTTTAATGTTTATTGTCAGTTTTTTTCAACTATAGCATTTTACAATCAGAAAATAATAAATGCTTATAATAGATAATTTGAAAATATAGAAATGTATGAAAAATAAATCAACAATAATTCTACTTCTCAATAAGTATTGAGATCACTAAAATAACTGATAAAATTATTTCCAGTGGTTCCCCCCTCCCCCCAGGCAAGTATTGGTATGAATGTTAAAAAAAAAAAACAGAACTGGAGTCATAGTGTCTACAGAAGTTTAAATTATTCTTAGTAAGAAAAGAAAGTATAGAGACAGTGCATTCCACTTCACCCCCAACACTTTATGTCCATTCCCACACTCCAGTGCTGACTACCAGGAACTGTTCAAGAAACTTTGTGGTGGTAACATGCATAATTTATATAGCCTTTAAATCCAGCTCCCACCTCCCTACCCCCCAACACACACGAACTATTACATAGTATCTTGAGATTTTTCCCATGCTATGAAAGCAGTGCTGTAGAATAGCTGAAAGTGGAAAGTGGACCTTTGGAGTCAGACTGGGATTCAAATCTTAGCTCTGCAATATAGTGCCTAAAAGACTTTAATCATTTCAGGAAATCTGTCTAGACTTCAATTTTCTCTTCTGTCAAATGTAAATCATAATAATTCTTTAGAGATCATGTAAATGTTGCTAGTGTTAAAAGCATGGAAATCAATTAAAGTGTGGGAATCACTTGTAAAGCTCTTTAGTGCATTGCCTTGTGCATGGTAGGTGCTCAATAAATGAAAACTATTTTTACTTTGAAATGTTCTACAGAAATAGCATGACCAAATGGTATTCAATCCTACTGCCACAAATACCAATATTTTCTTAGATGACATAGGCATTCTTTGTTGTTGCACATAGATGTGGCTTCCAATATTTTTCTTTTGTAAATAATAATATGATTAACATCCTTATATACAAATATTTGTATCTCCTTTTTTCTCAGCTTAGATCCTTGAAAGTGGAATTTCTATGTAAAATAATATGAACAAATTTAAGATGAAATATACACCTATGCTATTTTCCAGATAGATTATACAAATTTACACTCCCAACAGCAATAGATGAAAGTCCTAGGTTCAGAGCATCCTTCCAGCCTTAAATACTGTAACTTCTAATAATTTTGCTTTCTTTTGTTTTGTGAATTCACTCCTCATATCCTTTGCTCATTTATCTTTTGGAGAACTAAAGATTTTTATTTTGGTTTTGAATAGATTTTTATAATTTTAAAATATTAAAATAGACATTTTTGAAATATTTATTTCATAGTTGACCTTTCTTATTTATCATTTTTTGATAATAGAGCAATATTTAATTTTTATGCAGTCAAATTTATGCATATTTTCCTTTGTGGTTTTTTTTTTTCCCCAGTGCTTTTATACTTAGGACCGTTGAATCAACTACTCCCGTAATACTGTGTATGCACACACATGTATACCAACTCTGGTTTATTTCTGGGCTTTCTATTCAATTCTATTAAATTATTATCTGCTCTGTTTCACTTATTATTTCACTTGTTTTCCTTAATTTTATTTGTTCTTTTTTCTTTTTTTAAGGTTAAAAGCCTTAATTTCTTTTTTTCCCCTTGTTCACAGATGAAATAATTTAAGGCTATAAATTTGCCCTTGCATACTTTAGCTCCATTTCATAAATTATGTAGTCTTATCATTCTGCTATTTTACTGAATAGCCTAAAGTTGTGGTTATGTATATATTTTCATATCACATATCACAAGAATCTGAGGACTAGATATTTAAGTATTTGAAATTTGCAGTGGTAACATAGCTTTTAAATATTATAACATACACATTTTATACAAAAGATTAGATGGTAACAATATGAATACCAATTTTGTTGGAGCACAACATCATGGCACAAACTGTTCTTATCAGAGTAAGAAATTTATGAAGCAGAAATGTACTTGGGCTTAGTTATGGTGCATGTACAATTTTATTTACTTATGCTGTGATGGTGTAAGAATTACATTAGAAATCTGATTGTCAGAATTTGCAAATATTTTTTACATGGAATAACAACTGAATTCTTTTTTGTGGTGAAGCCTATGTTGAATCAAAAAGAAAGAAAGAAAAAAAAGACCTAATCATAGCAGTACCTGTTTTTCGTTTTGCTTCCCTGCATCAGTCACATTTTTAGAAATGTCCTGAATTTATTTCACTACTTTGTAAACCAATATCAATGCCCTACAATAGTGTTGCATATTTTGTAAGTGATTCTTCCAAAATTTGGTTAGTTTTTTTCAAAATAAGCTGAACATCTTTAACAGAAACAGTTTATAAATTTGGATTACCAGAAACCCTTCAGCTTTTGAAGTCCTTTGAAAATTGCAATTTAAAAAAACAAAGATTACAAACAAGAATACATTGAAATTTATCCTTACAAAACAAAGGAGGAAATAAAATATAAATAATCAGAGAAACTAGAAATGATAATTTTGTATATTAAAAAACATACGTTTATGTTTATACTCTTTAGCATGTGTGAGCTTTGTGAAGAATACAACTTTTCATAGTGTTACCCATATTTGAATTTCCATATAGGCTGCAATCCTGATGGAAATAATTTATTAAATTCTCATATCAAATTTGGAAAGTACTTTTTCTTATAATAAATTCTTACTTATTTGTTTTTACTTTTTAAATTCCCACCTAAGAGGGTGTCCTTATTAGTTTCAACAGCATCATAAAATGAGAGGTGAGAATTGTACATGTTTCGTGCCCCACCTCACATTCTCTTGGCCCATCATTTTACTCTACTCATTGTGGATGTAACCTAATGTCTCATTTCAAATGAATCACATACTTTTCGTTCTCTATTCCCAGATTTCTCTGGTGCCAGTATGTATTATAAAATGTCCAAGAGAATCCAGTCAGCCCTTCTGATGCTTACCAAACCTGAAAGTGGTAGGAATAAACATGTAATGGTGCAGCCCTGACCAAGTGTTGGATGGGGACTAGTGGGTAAGTGCGCCTGAGTCTGTGCCTCAAGTGGACAAATCTGAAATGTATCCTATGAGGCTTCTTAGAGGGGTTGAGCCCAACTATTTACTGCAATAATCATACTGCTCAATAAGATATACTAGGATTCAATTTTCTTTCTCTCCTTCTCTTTGCAGTTTCCCACTCCTCTTTGAGGTGACTTCCTAAAATAGACTGTCTGTTAATAAGCTTTTGTCTCCAGCTCTGCTTTTGGAGAGGACCCATACTGAAACAAATTGAAATATGTTGAAATGTGTGCATTCTCACTGAATACCTTTTTTAAAAAAAATTAAACCTTCAAAAAATGAAATTCATCATATCTCAGAATTTTATGGACTACATGCTCTATTAATAGAAAAAGAAAAGATAATTTTACAGGCTGTAAGTTTGAAGATGTTGTCAATTAGGAAGAATGATTTCCTTGTGCAATAATTGCTGGCATTTCCATTAAATTACAGTTTTACATTACATCATCTAAAATGCAAGCCTTTCTAAACAATTTCAATTTTCATTAAACTTTGACAACTTAGATGATGCATGTGAGCGCTAAATGACTTATTTTACTTAGATTTGAATAAACTAATCAAAATTGTAAAATTTGTTGCTAAGTCATTTATTTGTAGCCCACTTTTATGTCATCTTATAAATACAGAAATAATCACGAAGACTTACAGTTTCTAAGCTCAAAAATTTTATATGCATGGTCCTAATATTGGAGTATTCTAGACTACATTTTTTTCCAAGAAGAAATCCCATTTTAGAGATAGTTTCTTTTATATCTTCCTTGCTTCAAAATTAGAAACTTTTATGCAGTTTGTTATAGTGTATAACAAAGATGTTTTCAAAGAACATCAAGACAAACAAATCCACTTTATATATCTAACTAAAATGTAAAATCCTTGAAAGCAGAGCTTTTTGTCTATTTATTCACTACCATATCCTGAATGCTTAGAACAATGACGGACACAAGATATGCACTCAGTATATATATATATTTTTTTCTTTATTTTGAATTTTATTTTATTTATTTTTTTATACAGCAGGTCCTTATTAGGCATCAATTTTATACACATCAGTGTATACATGTCAATCCCAATTGCCCAATCCAGCACACCCCCATCCCCACCTCCCCCACCGCTTTCCCCCCTTGGTGTCCATATGTTTGTTCTCTACATCTGTGTCTCAATTTCTGCCCTGCAAACCAGTTCATCTGTCCCATTTTTCTAGGGTCCACATGTATGCGTTAATATACGATATTTGTTTTTCTCTTTCTGACTTACTTCACTCTCTATGACAGTCTCTAGATTCATCCATGTCTCTAAAAATGACCCAATTTTGTTCCTTTTTATGGCTGGCACTCAGTATATATTTATTAAATAAATTGAATGAATGAACTGATATGTACTCAGTAGAAAGGAGCTAAAAGGTGGTAAATTCATAATTAATTTGTAGCTGATGTTTTTCTTTAGTTTGTAGAATTTGGAGCAAAATTGAACAAATTTAAATATAGAAATTAATTTAGAGATATTTATATTACAATTAACAAAACAAAATTAGACTCCAGAAAATATATAAATTAAAAAGTCCATGTAAATTGAAAAGTCAGTTTGCATGAAGGCAGAAGAAGGAATACTTTTAAATATTAAGGGTTAAGTTGAAATTTATTATTTTTTAAAAGACAAAGTAACTTTTTAAAAAACCAAGTTGAAATTTATTATTATTTTTAAAGACTATGGATAATTACAGGTTCAGTAAGTATTGCAAAGCTTAAACATCGTTATAAAGTATAAATTTTTTCCACAAGATGGCAGCAAAGATTTATTTTAGAATAATTAGACAACCTCTGCCATCATACCAAATGATGTACATCTTTAAAAGCTATAATGTATAAGGAACATGGGGCATATTTTCTCTTATTCCTTTGAGGTACCACTTCATCAGGAAGGTTCTCTCATTGGTGGCTAGAGTTTCTGTGATTCCTTATACTTGCCTCCTCTCTTTTAAATGCTCCACCTCCATTTCACTTTTCATATCCTTCCAGATTAACCTTAAATTACAAATCTGAACATGTCACTCATTAACTAAAAAAAAAAAAATCAATAATTCCCTAAACCATACAAAATAAAGAATAATTCTTTTAGTTTATTCACTCAATCAACTCAGTAGCTATATTCTATTTACAAAGCACTATGATAGGCCCTAGGAAAATAAACAAGATAATGCATGGAGCTTTCCAGTTTGGGAATTACAAATATGTAAAGATATAGGAGATTGGTTCAAGATGGTGGAGTAGAAGGATGTGCTATCACTCACTCTTGCAAAAGCACCAAAATCACAACTAACTGCTGAACAATCATCAACAGGAAGACACTGGAACTCACCAAAAAAGATACTCCACATCCAAAGACAAAGGAGAAGCCAAAATGAGATGGTAGGAGGGGCTCAATCACAATAAAGTCAAATCCCATAACTGCTGGGTGGGTGACTCACAAACTGGAGAACACTTGCACCACAGAAGTCCACCCACTGGAGTGAAGGTTCTGAGCCCCACGTGAGGCTTCCCAACCTGGTGATCTGGCAACAGGAGGAGGAATTCCCAGATAATCAGACTTTGAAGCCTAGCATGATTTGATTGCAGGACTTCAATAGGACTGGGGGAAACAGAGACTCCACTCTTGGAGGGCACACACAAAGTAGTGTGTGCATCGGGACCCAGTGGAAGGAGCAGTGACCCCATAGGACACTGAACCAGACCTACCTGCTAGTGTTGGAGGGTCTCCTGCAGAGGCAGGGGGTGGCTGTGTCTCACCATGAGGACAAGGACACTGGCAGCAGAAGTTCTGAGAAGGACTCCTTGGCGTGAGCCCTCCCAGAGTCCGCCATTAGCTCCACCAAAGAGCCAGGTAGGCTCCAGTGTTGGGTCACCTCAGGCCAAACAACCAACAGGGATGGACTCAGCCCCACACATCAGCAGACAAGCAGATTAAAGTTTTACTGAGCTCTGCCCATCAAAGCAACACCCAGCTCTACCCACCACCAGTCCCTCCCATCAGGAAACTTGCACAAGCCTCTTGGATAGCCTCATCCACCAGAGGGCAGAAAGCAGAAGCAAGAATAACTACAGTCCTGGAGCCTGTGGAACCAAAACCACATTCACAGAAAGATAGACAAGATGAAAGGCAGAGGACTATGTATCAGATGAAGGAACAAGATAAAACCCCAGAAAAACAACTAAATGAAGTGGAGATAGGCAACATTCCAGAAAAAGAATTCAGAATAATGCTAGTGAAGATGATACGGAACATTGGAAAAAGAATGGAGGCAAAGATTCAGAAGATGCAAGAACTATTTAACAGAGACCTAAAAGAATTAAAGAACAAACACTTAGAAGAATGAAAAAACAAACAAACAGAGATGAACAATGCAATAACTGAAGTGAAAACTATACTAGAAGTAATCAGTAGCAGAATAACTGAGGCAGAAGAACAGATAAGTGACCTGGAAGACAGAATGGTGGAATTCACTGCCACAGAACTGAATAAAGAAAAAAGAATGAAAAGAAATGAAGACAGCATAAGATACCTCTTAGGCAACATTAAATGCAACAACATTTGCATTATAAGGGTCCCAGAAGAAGAATAGAGAGAGAAAGGACCCGAGAAAATATTTGAAGAGATTATAGTCAAAAACTTCCCTAAAATGGGAAAGGAAATAGCCACCCAAGTCCAAGAAGTGCAGAGAGTCCCAGACAGGATAAACCCAAGGAGAAACACATCACGACACATAGTAATCAAATTGACAAAAATTAAAAACAAAGAAAAATTATTGAAAGCAACAAGGGAAAAATGACAGCATACAAGGGAACTCCCATAAGGTTAACAGCTGACTTCTCAGCAGAAACTCTACAAGCCAGAAGGGAGTGGCATGATATATTTAAAGTGATGAAAGGGAAGAAGCTATAATCAAGATTACTCTTCCCGACAAGGATATCATTCAGATTCAACAGAGAAATCAAAAGTTTTACAGACAAACAAAAGCTAAGAGATTCCAGCACCACCAAACCAACTGTACAACAAATGCTAAAGGAACTTCTCTTAAGTGGGAAACACAAGAGAAGAAAAGGACCTGCAAAAACAAACCCATAGCAATTAAGAAAATGGTAATAGGAACGTACATATCGATAATTACCTTAAACGTGAATGGATTAAATGCTCCAACCAAAAGACACAGGCTCACTGAATGGATACAAAAACAGGACCCATATATATGCTGTCTACAAAAGGCCCATTTCAGACCTAAGGATACGTACAGGCTGAAACTGAGGGGATGGAAAAGATATTCCATACAAATGGAAATCAAAAGAAAGCTGGAGTAGCAATACTCATATCAGATAAAATAGACTTTAAAATAAAGAATGTTACAAGAGACAAGGAAGGACACTGCATAATGATCAAGGGATCAATCCAAGAAGAAGATATAACAATTATAAATATATATATGTACCCAACATAGGAGCACCTCAATACATAAGGCAACTGCTAACAGCTATAAAAGAGGAAATTGACAGTAATACAATAATAGTGGGGGACTTTAACACCTCACTTACACCAATGGACAGATCATCAAAACAGAAAATTATTAAGGAAACACAAGTTATAAATGGCACAATAGACCAGATAGATTTAATTGATATTTTTAGGACATTCCATCCAAAAACAGCAGATTACACTTTCTTCTCAAGTGCACATGGAACATTCTCCAGGATAGATCACATCTTGGGACACAAATCAAGCCTCAGTAAATTTAAGAAAATTGAAATCATAGCAAGCATCTTTTCTGACTACAACACTATTAGATTAGAAATCAATTACAGTGAAAAAAAGGTAAAAAACACAAACACATGGAGGCTAAACAATATGTTACTAAATAACCAAGAGATCACTGAAGAAATCAAAGAGGAAATCAAAAATACCTAGAGACAAATGACAGTGAAAACATGATAACCCAAAACCTATGGGATGCAGCGAAAGCAGTTCTATGAGGGAAGTTTATAGCAGTAAAAGCCTACCTCAAGAAAAAAGAAAAATCTCAATCTAACCTTAAACTAAAGGAACTAGAGAAAGAAGAACAAACAAAACCCAAAGTTAGTAGAACGAAAGAAATCATAAAGATCAGAGCACAAATAAATGAAATAGAAACAAAGAAAACAATAGCAAAAATCAATAAAACTAAAGCTGGTTCTTTGAGAAGATAAACAAAATTGATAAACCATTAGCCAGAGTCATCAAGAAAAAGAGGGAGAGAACTCAAATCAATGAAATTAGAAATGAAAAAGGAGAAGTTACAACAGACACCACAGAAATACAAAGCATCCTAAGAGATTACTACAAGCAACTCTATGCCAATAAAATGGACAACCTGGGATAAATGGACAAATTCTAAGAAAGCTATATCCTTCCAAACCTGAACCAGGAGGAAATACACAATATGAACAGACCAGTCACAAGTAATGAAATTGAAACTGTGATTAAA